GGCGCTCCCCCTCTTCGGGGCTCGCCGCATACAACCCGGGGTCTGTTCCCCGCCCGCAACCCACTGGTTGCGCTCAGGGGCCCCACACCTCTGGGGTCCCTATGAGGCCTCCTCCAACCCCTACAGCCTCACCCAAGCCTCCAGTGTAATATGCAAGCCTGAACATAAACTAGAGCCTCCTGGCTAAACCATAGTGCCCCATCCTCTCAGGGATGTAGTGAGCTGTACTTGCAAGTCAGGCCTCTTGCCACATCTCGGCCGAGGGAGCTCCTGCCTCTCCGGCTCCTTGCAGGGAACTGCCCGCCTGGTCTCAGCCCTGGGCTTTATAAGGGCCAGGCCCTGCCTCCTATAGGCAGCTGGCTCCCCTTAGCTGCCCCAGCAACCCGCAGCTGGGCTCGTTACCCTGGCAACCCTCAGCTGGGCTCGTTATGATCTGCCAGGGCTCTGTCTCTCTACCTGGCAGTTTCTCTCCTCTAGGAGCAGAGCACCGGGGTGCTCTGCGACACTGCCCTTGACAGGTGGGCAGGCCGATGTTGAGACCTGGCCCTGAGATGGCCCCTTGTCACATTTGGATTGATCTAATGAAGGTTAAATCAACCTAAGTGCTGACTTGTACACAAGTTTTGGGAGGTTAGATCAGGCAAAAAAAATGGCCTTCTAACTTAGTTCACCCACACGCAGACCTTACACTTAAATCAATCTAAATATTTTTAGGTCAATCTAAGTGCTGATCTGTTTAGAGATTTGGGAAAGCTAGATCAGACAAAAAATGGCCAGCCTCATCTAACTTTAGTTCACCTAGGAGGTGAACTATGTAGATCAGGCTAACTTGTGCCAGATCTAACCCAAGCATGCATACCACAGCAGCCCCGGACAGGCAGTCCCCCTCCTACCCCACCACCCATGGATCTGCCAACTCTCCCCACTTCACAGACTTGCCATCTTCTTCCTTCTCCCAGACCCACTAAACCCCCCACAGACCCTAATTTACTTAGATGTGGCTCACAGCAATGGCAAACATTTGTATATGTGGGACCTGATCTATAATCATGCAGCTTAAAGTGAGTTGTGCAATTGTAGACTAGGTTCTGGGAAAGTGTGTACATGTTTATGCAGTGCAGTCTGGGGCTGAAAAGCCCAGCCACTCACCCCAGCCCTGAGACTATACTTTTCTTACCTTCCCCACCAACTCTGACTAAGCTATCTTTAGCTCTCTAACTCCCCCACCCATGAACCTCCCCATTCCCCCAGACCTGACAACCCCTCTGATCCTGCTAACCCCCCTTGTGGACCCACTAGGCCCCTGAACCCCCTACTTCTCCCCCCAACCTGTCTTCACTCAGGCCCCCAATACCTGCGAATGTCTGTACAATACAA